TTCTACCAAGTATTCATACCACTAACAGACTTGTATGAGCTTTTATATGTAAGGTAATTTTGATGTTGTTCACAGTTCATACCTAGTTATAGCCATAGGCGAGTACATAAGGTGCTCTATCTCTGCAGGTGATCTGTCTATCTGGTCAAAATCACTGACACAGGTCCCCCTCTACCCTCTGATAATATGTATAACTGAATATTCTGTCTCCAGAGAAACCTGGATTCAAATAAAGACTTTATTAGATTTGCCCTACTTCTCAGAGAATACGCACCAGTACAGCTCTCTGTGTAGATTCAGAGTGTGTCTGAGTTCTGTATTGCAGTTCTGTCAAGTATTTATACCAGTGGGAGATTTTTATAAGGAATTTTGGTTCTGTACACAGTCATGTGATACACGGTATAGAAAAGTCCAATCTTAGGGATAGCTACAGTACCAACTCTGCAGATGATCTGTCTATCTGGTCAAAACCCGTGTCATGTCAGTGTTAGGGGAAGCTACTCTGAAAATATAGTTTACCAAAGCTACCTTCACACTGGAAGAAGTTCAGCTACACTATATGGCCTATTAAACAAAAAACAAAAAAAACGATGTTTCAAGTGATAATTAGGCAGGTCTGATCCCGAAAGATAAAGGAAATTCTTGTCTAGTAGTTATCTACACTGCTACATGGCAAAAAAAAGTTATTAACTACAGAAAACACTACCAAGATTTGAATTTAGTTCAACTACCACCAAGCTACTGCAAAATGTAGTTCAATTACTAGTTGAACTACATGTAGTTCACTACTCCTCTACACTGTCGTGGTGTATGGGACGTGAAATGTCATCCTTAATTATAGAAAGCTGATGTATGGCGCATCATTGGATATAATTGTGTTTGTGTGTGTGTGTGTGTCTGTATAAGAGATCCTTTATGATCTTAAAAATGTTAAGGTAATAATGTCCGACAATACCTTTTTAATTATATGCGCTACACATTTTGCTAGAATTTTTGCATCACAACACTGAAGTTTAAGGGTCCTCCAATTTTTTTAATGGACTGGATCTTTATATTTCCCACTTGTATCCTGTTTCAGTAATAATGAAATCAGACCTTCTTCTTGAGTGTCTGATAATCTACCATTTACATAGGAGTGGTTAAAACATGCTAATAATGGTTCTCTGAGTATATCAAAAAAGGTTTGGTGGACCTCGACTGGTATGCCATCCAACCCTGGAGTTTTCCTGGACTTAAAGTCTTTAATTGCATCCAGAAGTTCCTCCTCTGTAATTTCACCTTCACATGAGTCTTTCTGTATGGCTGTTAATTTCATATTATCAATAGAAAAAAATATCCCTACAATTAGCTTCAATTAGAGGAGATGGAGGCGACTGAAACGAAAACATATGCTTAAATTACTTTGCTTCCTCCTTCAAAATATAATTTGCTGAATCATGGGTGACTCCGTCATTTGTAATCCGTTTTCAGCAAATTCGAAATGGTATAAACATAACTGCATTTGTCAAATAGAAACTCTTGTTTGCAACTGTTGGACTAATGATTACACCCTAGATCAGCTAGATACAAGCAAGAGTATGTATTGAATGTCTGTCGCCTTGATTTCTCAAATTTCTCAAAATTATCTTGACCTGTGCACCTACGTTGTAAACGTTAATTGATAGAGTTTAGCAACCTCATGACGGGTACAGGGAAAGTGTTGTATCATATAGTAGCCTAAACCTATCGACGTTACATTGAGCTGGGTGAATGGAATATGAACGTCAGTCATCCAATATGCTGTAATACGATAATATATGTTTACGACGCATGTGACACACACAGACTGTGACCTGGAACCCAGTCAGCCTGGCCCATAGAGATGTAAAGAGATCGCAACGTTAATGCCAACACTCAAAACATCCACAAAAAAAAAAAAAAAATGCCAACAACGACTGATCCTCCGGCGCAGACTGAGACAACTGAAAGTCAACACCAGGATACTGTCCAACTACTACAGCAGGCTGAGACAACTGAAAGGCAACACCAGGATACTGTCCAACTACTACAGCAGACTGAGACACCTCAAAGTCAACACCAGGATACCGTCCAACTACTACAGCAGACTGAGACACCTGAAAGTCAACACCAGGATACTGTCTAAGTACTACAGCAGACTGAGACACCTGACAGTCAACACCAGGATACTGTCCAACTACTACAGCAGACTGAGACAACTGAAAGTCAACACCAGGGTACCGTCCAACTACTACACCTGCCATGTAGATTGTGCTGTCTTTCTGATGATAAAAGGACAAGGCCAAGAGCATCATAGAGGACCCCAATCATTACACAATCTTGCCCAATGTTTTGAGCTGCTGCCCTCTGGAAGGAGATTAAAGGTCCCACTGTTCAGCCAATTTTCCTGACTCTTCAATACAGGAACGTTACCAAAACTACTTCGCATAAACTCATTACATCCATGACTCTCCGAATGATGTTTTAAAAGAGGAAGCAAAATATTATAAGCAGATGTTTTCTTTTCAGTCTCCTCCTCACACACTGAATCACGATTATAGTAAGGATTTATTTCATAATAACAATAAAATAACAAATGCACAAAAAGATCAGTGCGAAGGCCAAATTACAGGAATCACTTTTTTGAGGCTATTAAATCCTTTCAGTCGGGAAAAACCCCAGGGCTTGATGGCATACCTGCAGAGGTATATCAAGCCCTTTTTATGTACTCAAAGTTCCATTATTAGCATGTTTTAACTACTCCTATACAAATGGTAGTCTGTCAGGTACTCAGCAAGAAAGTCTGATTTCACTATTAATAAAATAAGATCCAGATGGTAAGTACAGTATAAACATCCAGGCCATTTCAGAAGCTGGAGGCCTCCTACACTTCAATGTTGTGATGCAAAAATACTAGCAAAATGCATAGCGCATGGAATTAAAACGGTTTTTACCAAGTACACTACCAGTCAAAAGTTTGGACACACCTACTCATTCAAGGGTTTTTCTTTATTTTTACAATGTTTTACTTTGTAGAATAATAGTGAAGACATCAAAACTATGAAATAAAACATGTGGAATCATGTAGTAACCAAAAAAGTGTTAAACAAATCAAAATATATTTTAGATTTGAGATTCTTCAAATAGCCACCCTTTCTCTTGATGACAGCTTTGCACACTCTTGGCATTCTCTCAACCAGCTTCACCTGGAATGCTTTTCCAACAGTCTTGGAGGAGTTCCCACATACGCTGAACACTTGTTTGCTGCTTTTCCTTCACTCTACCGTCCGACTCAACCCAAACCATCTCAATTGGGTTGAGGTCGGGGGATTGTGGAGGCCAGGTCATCTGATGCAGCACTCCATCACTCTCCTTCTCAGTAAAATAGCCCTTACACAGCCTGAAGGTGTGTTGGGTCATTGTCCTGTTGAAAAACAAATGATAGTCCCACTAAGCCCAAACCAGATGGGATGGCGTATCGCTGCAGAATGCTGTGGTAGCCATGCTGGTTAACTGTGCCTTGAATTTTAAATAAATCACAGTTTCACCAGCAAAGCACCCCTACACCATAACACCTCCTCCTCCATGCTTTACGGTGTGAAATTCACATGCGAAGATCATCCATTCACCCACACCGCGTCTCACAAAGACACGCCGGTTTGAACCAAAAATCTTAAATTTGGACTCCAGACCAAAGGACATATTTCCACCGGTCTAATGTCCATTGCTCGTGTTTCTTGGCCCAAGCAAGTCTCTTCTTATTGGTGTACTTTAGTAGTGGTTTCTTTACAGCAATTTGACCATGAAGGCCTGATTCCCACAGTCTCCTCTGAACAGTTGATGTTGAGATATGTCTGTTACTTGAACTCTGTGAAGCATTTATTTGGGCTGTAGTTTCTGAGGCTGGTAACTCTAAAGAACTTATCCTCTGCAGCAGAGGTAACAATGGGTCTTCCATTCCTGTGGCGGTCCTCATGAGAGCCAGTTTCATCATAGCGCTTGATGGGACATTTTCCATATTGACTGACCTTACTGTCTTAAAGTAATGATGGACTGTCCTTTCTCTTTGCTTATTTGAGCTGTTCTTGTCATAATATGGACTTGGTCTTTTACCAAATAGGGCTATCTTCTGTATACCCCACTACCTTTTCACAACACAACTGATTGGCTCAAACGCATTGAGAAGGAAAGAAATTCCACAAATTAACTTTTAAGAAGGCACACCTTTTAATTTAAATTCATTCCAGGTGACTACTTCATGAACCTGGGGTGGCAGGTAGCTTAGTGGGTAAGAGCGTTGTGCCAGTAACCGACTAGGTGAAAAATCTGTCGATGTGCCCTTAAGCAAGGCACTTAACCCTAATTGCTCCTGTAATTCGCTCTGGATAAGGGCGTCTGCTAAATTACTAAAATGTAATGAAGCTGGTTGAGAAAATGCCAAGAGTGTCCAAAGCTGTCATCATGGCAAAGGGTGGCTACTTTGAAGAATCATATATATAAATATATTTTGATTTGTTTAACACTTTTTTTGGTTACTACATGATTCCATATGTGTTATTTCATCGTTTTGATGTCTTCACTCTTATTATACAATGTAGAAAATAGTAAAAAAAATAAAGAAAAACCCTTGAATGAATAGGTGTTCTAAAACTTTTGACCGGTAGTGTATGTCCAAGTTAATGTTTTTAAATGTATGTCAATTGTTAAGTATTTTTTGTCTATAATGTGTTCTTCGTTTTGTGTCAGACCCCTAGGAAGACTAGCTGTCGCTATTGGCAATGGCTTATGGGAGTCTCAATAAATGCTTAAAGTCTATGAATTTGATGGTGGTTACATTCCTCCAGCCTCATCCCTCAGCTGTTTACCAAAAAGGTGACAGCTTAAGTTTGTTGGTCTGACCACTTCATTGTTTTAGGAATCCCAGATACTTAAATTAAAATGCAATATTTTGATGGTATGAAAAAGCTTTTTGCTGAGTAATAAGTCCACAGTCACAAAGGAAGTGTATGTAGGTCTACATGTTTTTAATCAATGCTCATTTTCACCATGAAAATCATATTTTATGCAACACAGGAAAAGGATATAAGACTTTCGTCTTGTTTATTCAGCAACTTCTTTGCCCTGTAAGAAGAAAGAAAGAATATAATGGATGAGTATTAATAATGAACATGCTAAATATATTAATATATGTACATTTGGAAATAATGTAATGGGATCAAACATTTAAGGCTCAGTGTTAAGCTTAGATTTTTCAATTTTTAAGTACCAACTTTGAATTAATCTATTTATTTTTTGCCCTACCTGAAATGTCCTTCTTAGAGATCTTAAATACATTTTGAGTTTGTGTGAAAGTTTGGTATTGACCTCTGTGAAGACTGAATCATAGGTGGTGTTGATGTGGCCATATGTGATCATTTAGTCAGGTACAGGTTCAGCAGCAGCTCTGTACCTTTCCAGTGTCGCGGGCCTTGGCTCTGAGCTTGTTGACTTGAGTCTCAGCGATGTCAGCACGCTCCTCAGCCTCCTCCAGCTCATGCTGAACCTTCCTGAACTTAGACATGTGGCTGTTGGCTTGTTCCTCCTGGGTGAGGAAAAGCATTCAACGTTTCAAGTAGCAAATTAATAGTATTTTTTTTAAAGGTATTTTAAAGTTGTTGTTTTTTATTGACAGATTTAGGATAGCAATGTAAATAGGGAGATAGATGATACAGCAGAGAAACTGAGTGGTGAAATGGGGGATCAAACTGCTGCCTCCATACAGTGTCTATCATAAGTATTCACCCACCTTGGATTACTTCCCATTTTGTTACAAATTGGGATTCAAATGGATTTAAATGTATTTTCTTTTTTTTCAACAATCTACACAAAATACTCTGGAATGTCAAAGTGGAACATTTAAAAAATAATGTATGAAAAATAATGATGTTAAACACTATTATTGCACACAGAGCTTATGTGATTTGATAAGCAAATGTTTACTCCTGAACTTATTTAGGCTTGGCATAACAAAGGGGGTGAAAACTTATGAGAGGCACAGTATGTGATCCAGGAGCACTACCACTAGACCAGCCCCCAGTACAGTACTACCACTAGACCAGCCCCCAGTACAGCACTACCACTAGATCAGCCCCCAGTACAGTACTACCACTAGACCAGACCCCAGTACAGTACTACCACTAGACCAGCCCCCAGTACAGCACTACCACTAGATCAGCCCCCAGTACAGTACTACCACTAGATCAGCCCCCAGTACAGTACTACTACTAGACCAGCCCCCAGTACAGTACTACCACTAGACCAGCCCCCAGTACAGCACTACCACTAGACCAGCCCCCAGTACAGTACTACAACTAGACCAGCCCCCAGTACAGTACTACCACTAGACCAGCCCCCAGTACTACCACTAGACCAGCCCCCAGTACAGTACTACCACTAGACCAGCACCCAGTACTACCACTAGACCAGCCCCCAGAACAGTACTACCACTAGACCAGCCCCCAGTACAGTACTACCACTAGACCAGCCCCCAGTACAGTACTACCACTAGACCAGCCCCCAGTACAGTTCTACCACTAGACCAGCCCCCAGTACAGTTCTACCACTAGACCAGCCCCCAGTACAGTACTACCACTAGACCAGCCCCCAGTACAGTACTACCACTAGACCAGCCCCCAGTACAGCACTACCACTAGACCAGCCCCCAGTACTACCACTAGACCAGCCCCCAGTACAGTACTACCACTAGACCAGCCCCCAGTACAGTACTACCACTAGACCAGCCCCCAGTACTACCACTAGACCAGCCCCCAGTACTACCACTAGACCAGCCCCCAGTACAGTACTACCACTAGACCAGCCCCCAGTACTACCACTAGACCAGCCCCCAGTACAGTACTACCACTAGACCAGCCCCCAGTACTACCACTAGACCAGCCCCCAGTACAGTACTACCACTAGACCAGCCACCAGTACAGTACTACCACTAGACCAGCCCCCAGTACAGTACTACCACTAGACCAGCCCCCAGTACAGTTCTACCACTAGACCAGCCCCCAGTACAGTACTACCACTAGACCAGCCCCCAGTACAGTACTACCACTAGACCAGCCCCCAGTACAGTACTACCACTAGACCAGCCCCCAGTACTACCACTAGACCAGCCCCCAGTACAGTACTACCACTAGATCAGCCCCCAGTACAGTACTACTACTAGATCAGCCCCCAGTACTACCACTAGACCAGCCCCCAGTACAGTACTACCACTAGACCAGCCCCCAGTACAGTACTACTGCTAGACCAGCCCCCAGTACAGTACTACCACTAGACCAGCCCCCAGTACTATCACTAGACCAGCCCCCAGTACAGTACTACCACTAGACCAGCCCCCAGTACTACCACTAGACCAGCCCCCAGTACAGCACTACCACTAGACCAGCCCCCAGTACAGTACTATCACTAGACCAGCCCCCAGTACAGTACTACCACTAGACCAGCCCCCAGTACAGTACTACCACTAGACCAGCCCCCAGTACAGTACTACCACTAGATCAGCCACCAGTACAGCACTAGATCAGCCCCCAGTACTACCACTACACCAGCCCCCAGTACTACCACTAGACCAGCCCCCAGTACTACCACTAGACCAGCCCCCAGTACTACCACTAGATCAGCCCCCAGTACAGCACTAGATCTGCCCCCAGTACAGCACTACCACTAGACCAGCCCCCAGTACAGTACTACCACTAGACCAGCCCCCAGTACTACCACTAGACCAGCCCCCAGTACATTACTACTACTAGACCAGCCCCCAGTACAGTACTACCACTAGACCAGCCCCCAGTACAGCAAATGAATATTCCTCTCTCCTTTAAGTTGATAACACATAGGCATAGGAGGCGCTCAGAGATGTGCAGAAGTTCTTCAGCAATGACTTGCACTAACTTACTTCAACTTTTAATGTCTACTAAGGAAATAACATGTTTTTGAATGTATGCTTTCAGAGTATTTGACTAAGTATGTGACTCACCGCTTCCTCAGTCTGCCTCTTGTAGGCCTTGACTTTCATCTGCAGCTTATCTACCAGGTCCTGAAGTCTGCTAACGTTCTTCTTATCCTCCTCAGTCTGTGGGAGAAGATCAAAGAATCAATGCCCCATAGTTTATACACAAACCTGTCTGTGTTAGTGTCAAGTTTGTGAAGAAGGTACTTTCTCTTACCTGGTAGGTGAGTTCCTTGACTCTGCGCTCATACTTGCGGACTCCTTTGACTGCATCTGCACCTCTTCTCTGCTCAGCCTCCACCTCATTCTCAAGCTCACGCACCTTCGTGGAAAAAAATGTACGTAGGCATTTGTTTGAGATGGTCAAATCAGATTGTCTGTTCCTATGTACTTTTACAATTTTAATTGAAGGGGGTCTGTAATGATAACAACATCTTTTCATTCTCTAGGTGAGATAAAAAGTCATTACTCAATGCTCCTGTGTATTTGTATATAATCAAATACATTTCCAGCAATCAGTCTTTCAATCTCTAATCTCTAATCCACCCTGCTATTAACTCACCCTGGACTCCAGTTTCTGGAGCTGCTTCTTGCCTCCCTTCATGGCCAGATTCTCAGCCTCATCCAGGCGGTGCTGCAGGTCCTTGATCGTGACCTCCAGGTTCTTCTTCATCCTCTCCAGGTGAGAGCTGGTGTCCTGCTCCTTCTTCAGCTCCTCAGCCATCATGGCCGCCTGGAATGGTAGTTTGTTTAATTTATTGGCAATAATCATAACGTCCCTGTGAGATCTTTGCTGTGGTAAACCAGCCCAGCTACCATTGGCCCTTGGATATAAATCAAGTTGCTGTAATTGAATAGATCATAAGGACTCACGTCAGTGATGGCCTTCTTGGCCTTCTCCTCTGCATTCCTGGCCTCCTGGACGATGTCCTCCACCTCTCCCTGCACCTGCACCAGGTCAGACTCCAGCTTCTTCTTGGTGTTCAGAAGGCTGGTGTTCTGGAGGAGGGAAGACAATTTTCTTGAATCTCAAGAGAACTTTCAAGTCACAAGGCAGAAACGGTATGCTTGGTTTAGCTTCATTATTAATGGCTTTTGACACGTACCTGAGAGTGCAGCAGTCCAACACGCTCGCTGGCATCTACCAGCTCAGTCTCAGCCACTTTGCGGCCTCTCTCTGTCTGCTCCAGAGCAACTCTCAGCTCCTCGATTTCAGCCATCATCAGACCGTTTCTGCGCTCCACCATGGCTGCCTGCTCCTTCATGTCCTCTGCGGCGCGGACGGCGTCATCAAGGTGCAATTGGGCATCCTGGGGTTCACAATGACATAGGTTCATTAGGACTGGTGGAAGTAGAGGTGATAGGATGGGTGATAGAAATGCTCATTGGTAAGAATTTCCCCAATATCCCTACCTTTTCTACAGCATATTAGTTAACTCTATTAAATTCCTCTGTGCTATAATTTTCTACAGATTTACAAGCAAATCCCTCCCCAGTCCCTTTACCTTGAGCTGTCCCTGGACGTTCCTCAGCTGTTTCTGGGCTTCAGCGGCCTGCCTGTTGGAGTGGCTCAGCTGGACCTCCATCTCGTTTAGGTCTCCCTCCATCTTCTTCTTCACCCTCAGGGCGTCATTCCTGCTCCTGATCTCAGAGTCCAGGGTGCTCTGCATGGAGTCCATCATCCTCTGGCTGTTCCTCTTGATCTGCTCCATCTCCTCGTCCTTCTCAGCCAGCTTCCTGTCCACCTCACCCTTGATCTGGTTCAGCTCCAGCTGCACACGCAGAATCTTGGATTCCTCATGTTCCAGTGTTCCCTGAACAAAGAGAAGCAGTCAGGCAAATTGTGATCAATACATTTGGATGTGTATAACACAAGGAATTAAATATATATGACTACAATAAACACCAATACAGGGAGTGTTGGACTGTAGCTGGCATTGGCTAGTGTACCACTTTAGTTGTATTGTTTGTATATCGTATTTTAAATTTGTGTGACTGTCCTTGTCTATCAGGGTTTTGTTACTTGTCATGTTTTGTGTTTTTAGTGGACTCCAGGAAGAGTAGCTGCTGCTTCTGCAAAAGCTCATGGGGATAACACTATTTTTCCAATCAAACAGCTGTAGTTTGTACCTCAGCCTCTTCCAGAGCGGTCTGGATCTCAGACTTCTCTGTCTCCACAGTCTTCTTGGCCTTCTCCAGCTCATGGATGCTCTTGCCAGTCTCTCCGATCTGCTCAGTCAGGTCAGAGATCTCCTCTGCACACACAAACACAGGAGCAGTTTAGACTTGGGAGATTTTCAGTGGATACCGCCATTACACTGAAGTTGACATTGAATCATACTAATTAATTAATCAGCATTTCATACGGTCTTGCAAATCTAAGTGCTGCTACATCCTTGGGTTGTTCAAAGGAATACCGATTTACAAGTTCAAATAATAAAGTAAGTATAATACTGTTCTAAAATGGTGTAATAAATGTTGATTACAGTTCCCTCCATTTTTAAAACACTAGTCAAACATGAGCCCAATAGAACTGCTGTCAAATGCTCACGTTGCAGGTTCTTGTTCTCTCTCTTCAGAGTCTCCAGATGATCCAGAGCCTCCTCGTAGGAGTTCTTCATCTTGAAGAGTTCAGTGCTCATAGAGCGAGCCTCCTTCAGAGCTCCTTCCAGCTCAGCCTGAGCCTCCTCATACTTCTGCTTCCACTCTGCCAGAACCTAGGAAAATCCATTAGAAGTCATTGATGAAGTTTGGAATCAGAAATATGTTACAATTATATTACAATTGATCATATAGCAGACAGAAAATATCACCCTAGAGTGAGGTTTATTCATTTAAACCTTGTCAAAGTTCCTCTGCTTCTTGTCGAGGTTGGCAGCCATTGCGTTGGCTCTCTCAACATCAATCATGAGGTCCTCCACCTCTCCCTGCAGCCTCTGCTTGGTCTTCTCCAGGGAGGCGCACTTGGAGTTTGTTGCCTCAATGGTCTCCTCAGCATCCTGCAGACGCTGGGCCAGCTTTTTCCTGTTGGACGACAGAGGGTGTACAAATGTTAAAATACATATCAACGTAATATTTTCTTAGATCCCCCTACCACCCTCACCATCCACACCGTATGTTTGAGTTTTTGCTGTTGAGTGCGACTCACTTGGCCTCCTCCAGCTCCTCTGTGCGCTGGATGGCATCAGTTTCATACTTAGTCCTCCACTGAGCCACCTCACTGTTGGCCTTGGACATGCCGCGTTGCAGCTCTACCTTGGCCTCCTGCTCCTCCTCAAACTGCTCCCTCAGGAGGTCACAGTCATGGCGGGCAGACTGGACACCGTGGGCCAATGCGTTTTTAGCCTGTAAGAGAGAAAAGGAGATAAATTACAAATGACAAAGTCTCTGAGGGTGGCGTAGTCACCGTCTATATGAAGCTCTAAACTCTGTAGTCGGTGATGTCCGTTTTGAGTCCCTTACCTTGACCTCCTCCTCAATGTGCCTCTTCAGCTCCTCCACCTGCTGAGTGAAGGCCTGTTTTCCTCTGGTCAGCTGAGACACCAGGGATTCCTTCTCCTCTAGCTGGCGGCCAAACTCACCTGCAGGGAAAGAGGAACGTCTTGTTAATGGGGTCTCTGTTCTCTAAGATTGAACATGTATTTTAAGGTATCGTATGGCAATGTTAGGTGTTGAATTGTCCAGTAGAAACTGTGGACTGGATACAGCCCCCAACCCATGTTATTGTGTTTTACAGAAAGAAAGCATTGGTTTGTTGTTCATTGTTGATGATGGTACCATTTTCTGTCAGGAGTCTGGCCCTCTGTCCACTGATGTCGTTGATCTGGCGAACATTCTCATCATTTTTAGTCTTGATCTCGCTCAGCTGGTCCTCAAGAGTACGGCACATCTTCTCCAGATTGCCCTGTTAGTGAAACATGTTCCATCATTACTTTATATATGGGACTCCTGTCAACTTCAGTTAACTTGAATGGTAATGTAGTTGACCCTCCTCAACACTGCTTGATCAAAGCATCACTACTCACCTTAGCCTTGGCGACAGCCTCCATGTTGCTGGAGAGGTCATCAATCTCCATCTTGTACTCACTCTTCTCCTTCTCCAGCTTCTGCTTTACGCGCTGCAGGTTGTCGATCTGCTCCCCGAGCTCAGCCACACTGTCGGCCTGCTTCTTGCGCAGAGCGGCGGCTGTGGACTCGTGCTGCAGGGTGGACTCTTCAAGATCACGACGCAGCTTCTGGAACTCAGCCTCACGCTTCTTGTTCATCTCAATCTGTGCAGCAGTGGCGCCTCCGGCCTCCTCCAGCCTCTCGCTGATCTCCTCAAGTTCCCTGGAGAGATCGGCCCTCTGTTTCTCAACCTTAGCCCTGGCAGCACGCTCAGCCTCAATTTCCTCCTCCAGCTCCTCAATCCGGGCCTAGAACAGGGGGCAGGAGCAGGGAGGGATGAACACTACAATACATAAAATAATAATAGTATGTATATTTTTCATAAATGTGTTCATTCAAAGCCAGTTACACTAATATAATAAGTAAATAGTGTCCCATGCGGGAACCAAAACCATAACATTAAGAAGCACCAGCAAGAAGCACCATTTTCCAACCTACAAGCCACCAGGAAAAATGTGTGCTACCAGAATATTTTTTTATGAAATGTTTCAGGTGTGTGCTTTCCTGTACAGGAGCTTAGGTACTGTACTGTACCTGGAGTTCCTTGATCTTCTTCTGCAGCTGAGCTCCCAGACACTGCTCATCCTCAATCTTGCTGAGGAGCTGGGAGGTCTCAAACTCCTTCCTAAGAAACACAAACACGTCGATTGCAAAGATGGTTTTGGTCCGATAGGGTAAAGAGAGAGTATCATATGTAAATGCTATTTCATAATTTCAAGAATTAGTCAAGAACAACCATTATGATCAAGATGGCAGGTAATACTGTGTTAATTTATTTGTGTTTACTTCTTGATTTTCTCATCAGACTGCTGCTTGTCATTCTCCAGGTCCATTATGGACTCCTGGGTCAGTTTCAGATCTCCCTCCAGCTTTCTCTTGGCTCTCTCTAGGTCCATACGGAGCTTCTTCTCTTGCTCCAGAGAACCCTCAAGCTACAAGATAAAAACACACATGTATTTTTCTTATGTAAACAACTGAAGATAATATCATCTTACATACTATCATGGCCAAACTCCACTCACGTCGTCCACTTGCTGTTCCAGCTTGGTCTTGGCCTTTGTCAGAGTGTTGACTTTGTCCTCCTCTGCCTGCAGGTCGTCCAGTGTCTGCTGGTGGGCCTCTTGGAGGGCTTTCTTCTCCTTGGTCAGCTTGGCAACACTCTCATCCAAAGACGCCATCTCCTCTGTCAAGTTTTTAACCTGAAAACGGCCACACCAAAATTAGCCTTTGGTCACTTCACCATGAAGGGGAGAATTGGTTTGATATGTATTTCATTCAGATTAGAAATGTCAACAAGTACTGTTCTATAGAGTCAACACTAGATGGCAGTGAACTCAATGCCAGTGTACTGAATGGAAGTCATAAACGAGGGGGATCTGAACATACAATTACTGTAGGGAGAGAGGGGTGGTGAGAGAGAGAGAGGAGAGAGGGGAGGAGAGGAGAGAGGAGAGAGGAGAGAGGGGAGGAGAGGGAGAGGGAGAGGATGAGGAGGAGAGAGGAGAGAGGAGGAGGGAGCAGAGGAGAGAGAGAGGAGAGAGGGGGGGAGAGAGGATGGGGAGAGGGAAGAGAAGAGAGGATGGAGGCGGGAGATGAGGGGAGTCGGACGGAGCGGTCGGAGAGCGGAGAGTGGAGAGAGGAGAGAGGAGAGGTCGGAGGAGTGAGAGGAGGAGAGAGTACCACTATTCTACTATTTTGTGTCTTCATTTTTCCTGCACACACAATATAACTGTAATTCCATTTCTGTTGAGCTATTTTATGTTTTGAGTTGATTATTGTTTGGTTAGACTGTCTATGGAAGACACAAGACCTTGTTTTCAGTTGCGTGCTTCTCCTTCTCCACTTTGGCCAGGGTGAGCTCCATGTCATCAATGTCCTTCTTCAGCTCAGAGCACTCATCCTCCAGCTTCCTCTTCTTGGCAGTCAACTCAGCATTCATCTCCTCCTCATCCTCCAGCCTCTCAGTCGTCTCTTTGAGTTTGGCCTCCAGCTGGATCTTGCTCTTGATGAGCCCCTCGCACCTTTCCTCAGCATCGTTCAGATTCTCTGATTCCTGGTTTCAGAACAGGAGAAAAATCAGCAGCCTCACTTTGTGTATCAACATATAGATTTGATTTAGTCAGAGGTCAGAGCAAATCTATATAAATTCATGAAATATATATATATATAGTACCAGTCAAAAGTTTGGACACACCTACTCATTCCAGGGTTTTTCTTTATTTTTACTATTTTCTACATTGTAGAATAATAGTGAAGACAACAAGACCATGAAATAACACATATGGAATCATGTAGTAACCAAAAAAAGTGTTAAGCAAATCAAAATATATTTTATATTTGAGTTTCTTCAAAGTAGCCACCTTTGCCTTGATGACAGCTTTGCACACTCTTGACATTCTCTCAACCAGTTTCATGAGGTAGTCACCTGGAATGCATTTCAATTAATAGGTCTGCCTTCTTAAAAGTTAATTTGTGGAATTTCATTCTTTTTTAATGCATTTGATCCAATCAGTTGTGTTGTGACAAGATAGGGGTGGTATACAGAAGATATCCCTATCTGGTAAAAATCCAAGTCCATATTATGACAAGAACAGCACAAAGAAGCAAAGAGAAATGACAGTCCATCATTACTTTAAGACATGAAGGTTAGTCAATAGGGAACATTTCAAGAACTTTGAAAGTTTCTTCAAGTACAGTTGCAAAAACCATCAAGCGCTATGATGAAACTGGCTCTCATGAGGACCGCCACAGGAATGGAAGACCCAGAGTTACATCTGCTGCAGAGGATAAATTCTTTAGAGTTACCAGCCTCAGAAACTGCAGCCCAAATAAATGCTTCACAGAGTTGAAGTAACAGACACATCTCAACATCAACTGTTCAGAGGAGACTGCGTGAATCAGGCCTTCATGGTAGAATTGCTGCAAAGGACACCAATAAGAAGAAGAGACTTGCTTGAGCCAAAAAACACAAGCCATGGACATTAGACCGGTGGAAATGTGTCCTTTTGGTCTGGTGTCCAAATTGGTGATGTTTTGGTTCCAACCGAAGTGTCTTTGTGAGAATCTCAAATATAAAATATATTTTTGATTTGTTTAACACTTTTTTGGTTACTACATGATTCCATATGTGTTATTTCATAGTTTTGATGTCTTCACTATTATTCTACAATTTAAAAAATAGTAAAAATAAAGAAAAACCCTTGAATGAGTAGGTGTGTCCAAACTTTTGATTGGTGCTATATATATATATATATATATATATATATATATATATATATATATATATATATATATATTGTGTGTGTGTGTGTGTGTGTATATATATATATATATATATATTGTATATGTGTGTATATATATGTATATGTGTGTATGTATATATATGTATACATATATGTATATTTGTGTATAAATGTAAATATGTATATGTGTGTATAAATGTATATATGTATGTGTGTATAAATGTATATGTATGTATATGTGTTATATATGTATATGTGTGTATATATGTATATGTGTGTATATATGTATATGTGTATATATATGTAAATATGTGTGTGTGTGTGTATATGTATAACATGGAGAATAAAAATGTGTGCTCATCTGTGTATTCTTGTGTATGTAAATGTGACCTTATGAGGATCATTTCTCACTCACAGATGCAACTTGGAGTGCCAGGTCATTCTTCTCTTGCGTAATAGACACCATCTTCTCCTCCAACTCCTTCTTGCGGGCCAGAGCCTTGGCCAGGTCTGTCTTCATCTTGTCGAAGTTCTCCTTCATGTTAGCCAGCTCCTTCTCAGTCTCGGCACTCTTCAGCAGGGGCTTGATCTTGAAGTACACCTTCATCCATGGCCAGGTTTTCACATTCATGAATGAGCGGATGTTGTACTGGATGGTGAAGATGGCATCTCTGGTCAACAGAAAGGACAGAGTGGCATGGTGAGTGACATGCTTAAAGGCCCAGTGCAGTCAAAATCATGATTGTCCTGTGTTTTATATACATTTCCACACTATGAGGTTGGAATAATCCTGTGAAATTGTGAAAATAATGAGAATGCCCTTTTAGCGTAAGAGCTGTTTGAAAAGTTCGCCTGAAATTGGTGGGATGGCGTTTTGACCTGCCTGGTGACATCACCAGGCAGTAAATTAGTTAATAGACCAATAAGAAAGAGTTCCAAACCTCTCTGCCAATAAGAGCTAGTTTTCAATTTTCACCTCCCCACTAAGACCACTCCCAGACAGTCATAGCTAAATTCTTGCTTGAGAAATTGCTCTTTGCTAAGAAGCTATTTTTGTTTCTTTTTCACTATTTTAATTTTGAAACAATCTTCGTAAGGTACTTAATTGTTACCCATAAATTATTTGATATTGAGATAAAAACAGCTGCATTGGACCTTTTTTAAAGCTACATTCAGGAATGCAAGGACTTACAGGTCATGCTTAGCTCATGAGGCATTTTATATTCTTTAAGAATTAATGGGTAAATAGTTTATTTATTTATTGTCCTATCATGATTGAATGGTCCCCAACCCTATATCCTAGACACCCACCTGAGCGACCCACACACTAAGGAGAAGTCCTTATCTGTTTTATAGGCCTACTGCAAGTAGCCTATACACAGCCGAGACTGAAAGAAAGATCACCGCGGTCAGAGACCCACTAAAGCAGCACTGCCCCCTCAAGTTTCTGAGCCTGCCTGGCAGGGTTGGTCCACCAAAGCCAAAGCCTCCGAATGGGTGAGCATAATATACAAGGAAATTCTCAAAGCTTGCTAATGAGAACCTTGACGACCTCGTACCTAGCCGGTGGGGATTCCGGTGGAGTACCCCCACCCAGGTAGTGGCAGTGCTGGCAACACTGGCTGCAGTAACCCATGGGGAGGGGGTCAAACTCGGACAATCAAAGAGGGGGCAAATTATTGTGGCCCTGGCGGCACAAAATAATCAAATGGTCTGACTGCTCGGAGATGCTTGGGAAAATGCTCACAACGGGGGACCAGTGTCTGTGTGTGTGTGTGTGTGTGTGTGTTTCAGGGTAGGGGGGTGTATCTAAGCTCCATCAGCTAGGACTTGACATTGGTTAATCAAATTTCCCCATTCTTGCTCAATTTTTGCAGGCCTTCTCAAACAGCTACAACAGTAAATGCATTCACACGTCAAGCCTTCTCTTGAGTTGGGCTCCGGGATGGAACAACTGTTGAACATCTGAGCTTGTGGTTGTTTGTTGGGGGAAGGGTGGGGAGAGTGTGTGTGTGTGTATGTATCCCACATCTGTTGCTATGGGGTAATGATGTTAGTGGTAGGTTGAATCACAATAATAGCTTGCCAAAAATGTGATTTTTGTAATGCCAGTCCTGGTTATAGGTAACAATCCTTCATAGGAAGTGCCTACATCATTACGCGGTATTATTCATTAATTGTGGAATAAATAAAGATATTCAATAATTTTTTATATATATATAAAATAACTATTCAATATAATGGAGGTGAGTGCGTTGGAAATGCCTTTGGCTGTTAATCTGCTGCTGTTCTGTGGGTGCCACTGTGTGCTCTTTCTAAAGGATGGGTCCCTATCTCTCAAAGGCCCTAGGATCCAGGGGTACAGGGGTGGTCTGCCAGTCATGGGGACAACAACCCAACTTGGGATGGGGGGAGGGTTTTAGCGGATGGAATAGTGGATATTGGAGAACAATTGGAGATTTACTCAGTAGCAGTTCAAATATCATGGTACAGCTATATGGATACACAACCATCATGGTACTTTTTAATGGTAAGTTTACAAACATATATTAGCATAAATATAATTAAAACTTGTATCTCGTTATGGTAAATGGTGAAATAAGTATAGCCAGTTATAATTGTAATGGCTTAGCAGATAATATGAAAAGACATTCAGTATTTACCTGCTAAAAGAGAAGGAATATAATATATATTGTTTACAGGAAACTGATTCAACAATTTTTTATGAAGTTGTATGGAAAAAGGACTGGGGGGGGGGGGGATATACTTCTCCCATGGGCAAAGAAAATCAAAAGGGGTGATGACATTAATTAATAATAATTTTGATCCGAATGTGCAAACTGTCCAAACAGATCAGCAAGGTAGACAGATTTTTTTAAATATGTTATTGGACCATAAACAGATTTGGCTCATTAATCTATACGGTCCAAATAATGATGATCCACGCTTCTTTGAAAATAATTTTCTTTCAAGCCTACAAGCAATACAATACTTTATTATTATGGTGGGAGATTATAATACGGTTTTAAATACCTCAATGGACCCTCATGCACTTAAGGGAATTACAAATATCATGGATATATTGGAACTAGTGGATATATGGAGGCTTAAATATCCTGACCTAGTGAGATATACATTGCAGAGGCTAAATCAAGCTAGTCGTCTTGACTACTTTCTTATGTCATTCTCGCTGGCACCAAAAGTTGAATCAAAAAATTGGCATGTACATTACTCTTGCTGAATTTCCAAGTGGGCGAGGATATTGGAAATGTAATCAAAGCCTATTGGATGACAACTAGTTTTTAACCAAGACAGAAGAATTCATGACAGACTTTTTCCAACATAACATAGGTACAGCAGATCCCCTTGTTGTATGGGATCCTTTTAAATGTGCCTTTAGAGGCCATGCAATTCAATACTCATATTTAAAACAAAAGAAACGTAGGTGAAAAGTGTTCATATTAACAAAGGAAATAGAGGGACTAAGAGTACAGATAGATAGCAATACAAACTGTACTAGAGAGGCACATAATAAGTTAGAGGAAAAACAAAAAGAACTGGAGGACCTTATTCAAGAAAGATCAAGTCTAATATATTATAAAAAATAAAGCGAACTGGATGGAATATGCGGATCTTCAAAATAGAAATGCTACCAAAAATAATTTACTGAAATTTGTTACAAATTAATGTCACCCATGATCCACCAAACAATATTTTGAAAGAGGAAGCAAATTACTTTAAGCATATGTTTTCGTTTCAATCTCCTCCATCTCCACTAAACTAAGTTAATTGCAAGGATTATTGTTCAATTAATAATGTCAAATGAACAGCTGTACAGAAAGAGTAATGTGAAATCCAAATTACAGCGGATGAAATTCTCGATGCAATTAAAGCCTTCAAGTCCGGGAAAACTCCAGGGCTAGATGGTATACCAGTTGAGGTATATCAAATATTTTTCAATGTACCAAAGGTCCGTTATTAACATGTTTTAACCACTCCGATAAAAATGGTAGACTATCAGATACTCAACAAGAAGGTCTGATTTCACTATTACTGAAACAGGACCCAGGTGGTAAATGTGAAGATCCAGTATAAAGATGCAAAAATTCTAGCAAAATGCATAGCACATAGAATTAAAAAGGTGTTAGATTTTATTCATGGACGATACATTGGAGATAATATAAGACAAGTACAAATCTGGGAAACCAGGCCTACTATTCATAGCAGACTTTGAAAAGGCTTTTGATAAAGTATGACTGGAATTGATATATAAATGCCTGGACTATTTTAATTTTGGAGAATCTCTTATACAATGGGTTAAAGTTATGTATAGTAACCCTAGGTGTAAAATAGTAAATAATGGCTACTTCTCAGAAAGTATTAAATTGTCAATAGGAGTAAAACAATGTTGTCCATAATCGGCATATCTATTTTTTATGGCCATCGAGATGTTAGATATTAAAATCAGATCCAACAATAATATCAAAGGGGCTAGAAATCCAGGGCTTAAAAACAAAGGTGTCATTGTACGCTGATGATTCATGTTTTCTTTTAATACCACAAGTTGGATCCCTCCACAGCCTCAGAGGATCTAGATAATTTTTCTAAACTCTCTGGATTACAATCGAATTATGATAAGTGTACCATATTACGTATTGGATCTCAAAAAATGTTAACGTTTACATTAACGTGTAGTTTACCAATACAATGGTCAGACGGTGAAGTGGACATACTAGGTATTTATACCCTGAACAAAAAATAAACGATCTCACTACAATACATTTGAATAGAAATTAGACAAGATTTTGCTACCATGGAAAGGACAACAGCTGTCTATTTGTGGGAAAATCACCCTGATTAACTCTTTAGTCATATGCCAGTTTACCTATTTACTTATGGCCTACACCCAACGACTTGTTTTTAAAAATGATATGAGTCAAAAATATTCAATTTTATTTGGAATGGGGAAGCGAGACTAAATTAAACGGGCCTATTTATATAATGAATATGAATTCGGAGGGCAGAAACAATTAAATATTAAAGCGTTAGACGTCTCACTCACTAAAGGCTTCAGTCATACAAAAGCTACACTTAAATCCGAACTGGTTTTCTTGTAGATTAGTAAGAATGGCTCACCCCGTGTTCAAGACTGGCCTGTTTCCCTTTATTCAGATTACAACCTCTCACTTTCGGTTAATTGAAAATGAAATCATTTCCAAACTATCGCTATTTTTAAAACAAGCAATAGAAAGTTGGCTGCTATTTCAGTTTAATCCACCAGAAAAGACCAAACAAATATTACAAGAAATATTATGGTTAAACTCAAAAATACTAATTGATTATTTATTTATTTTTTAAATCAGAAAAAAAAGTATAATCTTTGTAAATGATATCACAAATAGGACTGGTGACATGCTGTTAACAAAAATATATGGAAATGTCTTCTCTATCCAAAATTACAACCAACTGATTGCAGCATTACCGCAGTGTAAAGGGGAAAAGGTAAGGAACTTGTCTGTCGGCATTAAAGACCAAAATTGCCTAAAGCAAATCGTGATGAATAAAAAAGTTTAATCTAAGAACCAAAAAATGGACAGCTGCGCCATACATGTTGCAACATAGTTGGGAGGAGATTTTCGATTTTCAATTCAATTCAAAAGTTTGTGAAAGACGCCAGATTCAAAACTAAAATTATTACACATTATTCTTGCAACCAACAGAATGTTATATGTATGGGAGATACAACCATCTAAGCTCTGCAGATTTTTCTGCGAAGAGACAGAATCATTAGATCACTTGTTTTGGTACTGCCCATATGTAGCTTGTTTTTGGTCGCAGGTTCAGGAATGGCTGAAAAATTGCCACATTTACTTGGAGCTAACTCTGCAAAGTCATAGTCAATCGATCAATAAAATAATAATACTCTTAGCAAAACATTATATCTTTAATTGACAATCTGTAGAAACTATGAGACTAGAAAGGTTCAGGACTTTTGTGAAACCGCATAGTTAAAAAATATATGGCTAATAGAAATCAAAACTGGATGGCGTTCAGAAATAGATGGTATGGGTTGAGGGGAGCTGAATGGTGAAAAAACAATGAAAAAAAAAATAAGTCTACTATTCCTCACCTCCTCTCCATCATCTTGGTGAACTCTTTCCTCATGAGGAATCCACGGCTGAGAGCCTGGACCATGCCGATCAAAACGGCCAGCTTCTCATCTCTCATCTCCTCCAGGACACCCAGCAGACCGGCTTTGAAGAACACCTGAGGCACAGGTAAACATGGAACATTGGAACCACAGTCAGATGGTTACAGATAGAAAGGGTTGGATCAAAACAGGGCAACAACACCACTGGATTGATTTGAACAACATAAACATTGCATAGGCTGTTTCTAAGTTGTAAGTTATTGTACAGTTGCAGATGAATAATGAACACAGATACAGATAACTGCAACCAAATCACTCTAAACCAATGCAACATGATAATGAGTTGAGTTTCTATACTTAGATGTGAGTAAAAATAGTTTTCCAACCTTTTTCATTAGTTAAATGAAGATACTGGTGAGATGTTGAACAGTTAGGGTTGGAATTATCATTGAAGTTGTGTTTTGTTGTCAGCTTTTGCTGGGGGTATTTGACTGACCTTGGTGTGTCCAAACTTGTAATCGTCGTGATTTATGTCAATGGACCCAAGTAGCTTCTCAGAAGCCTTCTTGTTGTCCATGAACTGGCCCTCGGGGATGACACTGGCATTCAGTACTTTGTACCTGAATGAGGAGACATTTTTAACTTATGTGAAGTTGTAATAGGTTGGTTATACAGTGCATTCGGAAAGTATTCAGACCCCTTGACTTTTTCCATATTTTGTTACGTTACAGCCTTATTCTAAAATGTATTCCAAAAAATATTGTTCTCATCAATCTACACAGAATATTCGATAATGACAAAGCAAAAATTGTTTTCAGAAATGTATGCAAATGTATTAAAAATAGAAAAAACAGATGCCTTATTCACATAAGTATTCAGACCCTTTAATATGAGACTCGAAATTGAGCTCAGGTGCATCCTGTTTCCATTGATCATCCTTGAGATGTTTCTACAACTTGATTGGAGGGCACACACCTGTCTATATAAGGTCCCACAGTTGACAGTGCATGTCAGAGCAAAAACCAAGCCATGAAGTCGAAGGAATTGTCCGTAGACCTCCAAGACAGGATTGTGTCAAGGCACAGATCTGGGGAAGGGTACCAAAAAATGTCTGCAGCATTGAAGGTCCCCAAGAACACAGTGGCCTCCATCATTCTTAAATGGAAGAAGTTTGGAACCACCAACACTCTTCCAAGAGCTGGCCGCCCGGCCAAACTGGGCAATCGGGGGAGAAGGGCATTGGTCAGGGAGGTAACCAAGAACCCGATGGTCACTCTGACAGTGCTCCAGAGTGCCTCTGTGGAGATGGGAGAACCTTCCAGAAGGCACCTAAAGACTCTCAGACCATGAGAAACAAGATTGTCTGGTCTGTTGAAACCAAGATTGAACTCTTTGGCCTGAATGCCAAGCGTCACGTCTGGAGGAAACCTGGCACAAACATTTCTAAAAACCTGTTTTTGCTTTGTCATTATGGGGTATTGTGTGTAGACTGATGAGGGGAAAAAATCAATTTTAGGATAAGGCTGTAAAGTAGCAAAATGTGGAAAAAGTCAAGGGGTCTGAACTTTCCGAATGCACATGAAATAGCTATTCTGATGCTGGGAAAACTCTTGGAGCAGATCTTTCTGTGTGTGTGTGCGTGTGTGTGTGTGTGTTGTTGTTGTGCGTGTGTGCATTTGTGTTTGTGTGTGTGTACCTCTGCTTGAAGTCAGCGTAGATGATTCTGCTGGGGAAGCCCTTTCTGCAGATCCTGATACCCTCCAGAACACCATTACACCTGAGCTGGTGGATAACCAGGAAGTTCTCCATCAGACCTGGTAAAACAAACCAAGTCTCTTTTAATACACATAAACAGATTAAATATTGGACTCATTAAGGTTACTCATACTGTATTGATAAGATGTAATATTTAACGCAATATTTCGGGACCTGGAGTCTTTGACTCGTTGGGGATCAGGCAGCGCACAAAGTGAGGATGAGTGCTCCTCAAGTTGGTCATCAGCTTTTGTAAGTTCTCCTGTAAGAGGGTTACAAACCATTTTCTCATAAATAATTTATGATAATCAATGCACCTTTTGAAGGACTGAATATACACATTTCAAGAGCTCACCCTGAACTGGGAAGACACAGTCTGCATGGAACCACCCTTCTTCTTGCCTCCTTTCTTGGTTGTATCTGTTCAAATGTGGAAAAGTAAAATATAATTATAAATAAGAGAATCAAATGCAAACACTACCAATGAGATTGTGTAAAATAACACCTATTGTATGTGTAAATTAACCCAGTGAATAACCCTGAGAAATTGTGATACATTCAAAGGCTTTAAAGACAATGTGGGTCTGAGTTGTAACTAGGGCTTAATTAAATATGTTGACGTGATGCTGGTCTTACCCTCAGGTGGGGCAGCAGGATACAGGGTAGCCATCAGTTTGACTGAGGACTTCCCGTACATCAGAATAACTGAGTCGTTCAGGGGGTCCTTGTTCTTCTCCAACCAGCCAGTGATGTTGTAGTCCACAATGCCGGCGTAGTGCACCAGGGAGAAGTGGGCCTCTGCCTTGCCTTTGGCAGGCTTGGGCTTCTCATATGCCTTGGTTTTGCCAAGATGTTGGTCGTTCAGCTTGTTCTTGAAGGTAGTGTCTGACGCCTTGGGGAACATGCACTCCTCTTCAAGGATGGAGAAGATGCCCAATGGCTTTACAAAAAGAGATGTATATCAAATGATTGATATTTACATTTAGGATCACATTTATTCCTTTTGCAAACATGCTTTTATAGGATTCTATTCATTTAGGGGCACAAAATAGGAAACCTATTGAGTTCTCAACAGTCAGATACATTGTACCACTGTGAATATATCTCTCGATAACTTACCTTCTCAATAAGCTCAATGCAGGCAGCCAAGTCCATGCCGAAGTCAATGAAGGCCCAGACGATTCCCTCCTTCTTGTACTCCTCTTGCTCCAGGACGAACATGGTGTGGTTGAAAAACTGTTGCAGTTTCTCATTGGTGAAGTTGATGCACAGCTGCTCCATGCTGTTGTACTGTTGGTGGAATTTCAAAAGGGATAATTTCATTATACAAGGCTGTAATCCTTCTTAATCACAACTAATTGTCTTGTTCTGGTCTCATACTCACATCAAAGATCTCAAACCCGGCAATATCGAGCACACCGATATAGAACTGCCTTGGATTCTTGGTGTCCAACATCTCGTTGATACGGATGACCATCCACAAGAACATCCTCTCGTAGATGGACTTGGCCAGAGCCATGACTGCGTTATAAACCTGCAATGATAATAACTCAAATTATTACAGGAGATATTGGCCATGTCTAGTGATAAGGCGATAAGCGCTTGGGAAAACAACATTACTATTTTTAGAAAGCAATGCACTCATCCCCAAAATAATTCAGGTCGTTAGAAAATGGTAGATGTTTGATGCTGTGTTTGACCGCCTTACCTGAGGCACAGTCTGTCCCTTGGTCACGTACTCGTTGCCGACCTTCACTCTGGGGTAGCACAGACATTTCAGCAACTCAGCTGAGTTCAGGCCCAGCAGGTAGCCGATTTTATCAGCAACTGGAGAGAGAGCCAACAACAACAGATCACTTGTTTCTGATGTCAAACTGACAAAATAGTTTGGCCAGCTCTTTTGTAGGTTAGGTTTAGATTTGAACCCACATCTATTATTTAAAATCATTTTCCGGGGGTTTGAGTTTTTATCTCATGCCTGTCTGTCTTATGTGTTCTATTTATATGTTTGGGACTGGGAAAGGGACTAATGCTTTCCATATTGTATATCTTTGAGTGGGACTCACCCTCTGTGCCGTCTGGCTCGGCCTGCTCCTCACGCTGCTTCTGCTTGAATTTCAAGTTGCCATGGTGCATTACAGCTCCTGTCAGCTTGTAGATGGCCATCTTCTCATCATTAGAGAAGCCCAGGATTGTAATGGCATCCTGGCATTAGAGAGGAAGTACAACCGTGAAGAACTGAACGGCAGTTTGCTCAGTTACAGTACACTACCGTTCTGTGTTCAGTCCAGAACAAATGGGATGGATACAATTGACTGGCTTCTCTGTTCCACATGATTGCTCTTGGCCAACACACTAGTATATGGCAGCACAAAATTAGTTTTACACAGTTCCACAGGGCATATAGTGGCAGTCTCTTGTGGATGTCTTACAGGTATGTGCCTCAAGGCGAAGAGTGAAGGCATGAAGAGTGCCTTGAAGCACGTGCCTAACTAACACAAGGTGCCCAGCTGCCACCAAGTTGGAATTGCACAGTGCATTCAGTGTGTATGGTGATCCTACCCATTCCATATCTAGAGTTTGGTTAACACTTTGTATGACTCACATCTGTGGCATCCAGCTCGACCTTGTCGTCGATGCTGGCCACAGTGACCTGACCCTGGCTGATCATGGGGAAGTCGTAGGGGTTGGTGGTGATGAGCGTCATTTCTGTGGACAACGGATAATGGTTTGTCAGTTAAATCTCTTAGAATTGTGCTGTCCTACCTTTACAGTATCTCTCCCTCCTTTACTCAATAGATGGACTCAAGGATACATGTAGTATATAATACATAGCATCAAAAGAGGGGACTGAGGCTCCAGGACTAGTGCATCACAGTGCATTACTTGATAGATCTTTCCCATGAAAGACCTTGAAAGACCTGACCCATGTTTAGATGCCTTGTTACCTTGGATGTAGTCATTGTAATAATATTAACAGTGTGGAGTATGAAAATGTTTAATAAGTTCCACAGATGGGGGTGGGAATAATTTCACATAAACCTCTACTTTGCCTTACCAACTAGCTCAGGTTTGTGGTTGGTCATCATCTGGTAGAAGATATGGTAGCCTCGCTCAGCGGGCAGCTGGAAGGCCACTCTGGACTTCTCCAGCAGGTCTGAGAGAGAAAGAGAACAAGTGATAGAAAAATATTATATCTGATGATGTGATCTCCTCGAAATATGCTGTGTGAATTAAAAAGATTCTCCGGTACTTTTGTATACTTTATAGTCAGTAGTTCTGAAATTATCACTCACGAGTCAAAAATGGTCCCCGAAAATTACGTACTACCTCACATATGTGCAGATATGTGCACCAAGTCATTACTCTCTCTTTCGCTCTGCTGTGTGTGCAACTTGCTAGCTGTCACTCAAATGGCGAAGGGCTGAAGCTCATTGGCTGAAACTTCAATTGCTAGGGGGCTGGCCCACCTGGGGGAAAATGTAGGGACAAAGGCGCATCCAGAAAAAAGTCACTTTAAAACTAGGGATTTCCTGGCTAATTAAGTTAAGACAGATTGTGCATGTATAAACTACACATAGACACATCCAGCCCAAAGCACGAGATTTAAAAAATACTTGCTAGTCTACTACACATAGACACATCCAGTCCAAAGCGCGAGATTTAAAAAAGACTTCCTAGTCTTCAAAGTTCCGGAGCAAGTCTTTAAGGAAAGCATTGAGAAACAATCAAAACCAACTCACAGGTCTCAATGTCAGCTTTAGCCAGTTTGCCTCCTTGGAAGTGAATCCTGATGAATTTACCCTATAGTAGAGCATGGGGGTTAGAAATAGGTCAACTAAATAAATCTACCATTTTACTTTGATAGACCCCTTGAAATGTTACAGTTCGTTGGACATCTATTGATACAACTATAGGGAACTACTGACATTTTTCCACCCAATATAACGTACTTCCACAGTCAATTCTTCATACTTACGAAGCGAGACGAGTTGTCGTTCCTCACTGTCTTGGCATTACCGTAAGACTCCAGCAGAGGGTTAGCTGCAATGATCTGATCTTCAAGAGACCCCTGATTTGAGAAAAAACACAAGTTGCTCAGAAACTGGGAAACACTTTACTTAAAACAGTATTCAGCACTTGAATTTTTTTTTTACACAGCCCACCAAACTGAAATATGTTAAAAAGGCATAACCTACCTGCATTTTGGTGGGGTCTACTTCCTTCTTGACACCAGAAACTGCAATGGTGGCGAAGTACTGGATGACACGCTTGGTGTTGACAGTCTTTCCTGCACCGGATTCTCCACTGGTTTATATGACCGAGAATGATGGGTTTAAGTGTCATATTGGCTTTTGCTAAGAAATAGCACTGACAAATACACTGTTCACCTGTTTTCTAACATAAGTTAGAATATTTCCACTCATCGACTCATTATTACGCACAGTCTAATCCATTCATAATGCCATGTATACTGAACACATATATAAATGCAACATCCAACGATTTCAACGATTTTCCTGAGTTACCGTTCATATAAGGAAATCAGTAAATTGCAAAAAAGATGAATTAGGCCATGGGTGGGCCTTGGAGGGCATAGGCCCACCCACTTGGGAGCCAGGCCCAGCCAATCAGAATGAGTTTTTCCCCACAAAAGGGCTTTATTACAGACAGAAATACTCCTCAGTTTCATCAGCTGTGGCTGGTCTCAGAAGATCCCGCTGGTGAAGAAGCCGGATGTGATCCTGGGCTGGCATGGTTACACATGTGGTCTGCTGTTGTGAGGCCGGTTGGACATACTACCAAATTCTCTAAAACTTGTTGGAGACTGCTTATGGTAGAGAAATGAACATTAAATTCTCTGGCAGCTGCTTTGGTGGGCATTTCTGCAGCAGTCAAAATGCCAATTGCACACACCCTCAAAACTTGAGACATCTGTGGCATTGTGTTGTGTGACAAAACTGCACATTTTAGAGTGGCCTTTTATTGTCCCCAGCACAAGGTGCACCTGTGTAATGATCATGCTGTTTAATCAGCTTCTTGATATGCCACACTTGTCAGGTGGATGGTTTATCTTGGCAAAGGAGAAATGCTCACTAACAGGGATCTAAACAAATTTGTGCACAGAATTTAAGAGAAATAAGCTTTTTGTGCGTATGAAACATGGGACCTACACTTTACATGTTGCGTTTATATTTTTGTTCAGTATATTTTCATCACACCCAAGTGACCTAATCCATTCATAATGTAATGTATTTTATAACACCAAGTGACCCAACATATTACAATAGAAACATCTTCTCAAGTGGAATTATAGTAAATAACTTACGTAATCAGGACGGACTGGTTCTCCTTATCTAGAACCAAAAAACATGTTCCTTATTATACTCAAGCAACATTATGGGTACATAATTGCATTCATAAGCATCATCATGAATTTCATTTTTTGGTACATTTTCCATTTAAGTCTAGTGAAATCAAATATTCCCAGCAAACTGCTTTAACTAGAAAACAGTGAATACCATCCATCCATGCATCCATCCATCCATGCATCCATCCATGCATCCATTTACATTTTACATTTTAGTCATTTAGCAGATGCTCTTATCCAGAGCGATTTACAGTTAGTGCATTCATCTTAAGATAGCTGGGAGTGACAACCACACATTACAGGCATAGAAAGTACATTTTTCCTCAATAAGGTAGCTGTCAGTAGAGTCAGGGCTAGAAGTACTGGTTAAGTGTTATTTTTTTATATATATTTTTTTGCATCCATCCATTCATTAATTTATCCATCCATCCATCCATCTATCTATCTATCCATCCATCCATGAGAGCTCGTACCAATCATCATGAACTGAAAGGCGTTGTCAGAGACGGAGAAGATATGGGGTGGAGCCTCCATCCTCTTCTTCCCTCTGTAGGCGTTGACAACATCTTCGTCATACACGGGGAGCCACTTGTAGGGGTTCACCGTGGCACAGAAGAGCCCAGAGTAGGTCTGGATGAAAGGGATTCAATGAAATTAAGGGATTTATGTGAGGATGAGGGTGTGCTTTGATATACTAATGTGGATCTACTGTATTGGTATGTTTTGGTTTCTACCGTTCATTTCTGTGTAGTACTGTTTGTGTGTTCATGCATGTGGGAATTTCTTATGTTCATTTACAGTATGTGTGTATGTTTATGCAGGTTTCTTACATAAATCATCCATGCTGCATAACGCTCTTTGAGGTTATACAACACAGAGGCTTCATTCAGGTAGGTCATCATGGCCATGTCCTCAATCTTGTCGTACTTAGGGGGGTTCATCTGGTAGATGTCTGCTTCTTTGAACTCTTTATCCTGAAACGGTCAGAAATCTAGATTACACACGGATCAAACTGGACATGACTGAATGCTTTTTGCTCATTGAATACAAGTTCAATCTTGGTCCCGTGTAGCTCAGTTGGTAGAGCATGGTGCTTGCAACGCCAGGGTTGTGGGTTCGATTCCCACGGGGGGCCAGTATAAAAAATAATTTAAAAAAACACTTAAGTCGCTCTGGATAAGAGCGTCTGCTAAATGACTAAAATGTTAAAAAATGATTTTTTTAAATCCCCACTGACACATACATGGTGATTCTTGACTAGTCAATATCAATAACTCCATGCCGTTTTTAAATAGTTCAATAAAAGTGTTTTGTTTGAGGGTTAAAAATATTCTGTTAAAAAAAGAAAAATGCTTCTTAATCTTTTGTTAATGATTTCATATTGACTTGTGGCATGTTTTTGATCATTTTGAAATATATATATATATTTTTTAATAGTGTAATTGCACAAACTTGAATTTGAATACTTTTCAGATTGGACTTACCATTGTAGTGCCGTCAGGATTCGTGACTTTTACAGTACACTTTCCCTCTGTCCTGCCAATGATCAGACCCTTAAGGTACAGCTCCTTGACGTCTGTCACATAGCAGGCGTTCTTTGAATCAAAGGGTGCGGCTTGTGCCTCAATCCTCTCCCTCTCGGGTTTACGAAGGTACATGGCAGCCTTGCCGTAGATTTGCATCTCCGCGTCCGTACTCATGGTGACGGATCACTAGGAAAGAGATGAAACAAGAGACATGATTGACTCTGTGGTGCATTCCTCCCCAGTCAATAGAGTGAGCGGTATCTCACACAGAATATTTTTATCACATTTTATGTGAAGACTCAAACCATGTCTCACCTTCTTTTTCCACTCCTACAGATGAATTTGTACGTCTTGGAGGACCCTGTGAAACATCAGGGTGTTGTGAATACGCATATCTAAAGCATTATAATTTAGCCCCCGAAGGGCTAGAAAACATTTTGAATGGCATCATTCAACTTCATCATTACAGCCATGTCCAATTCGACTACAGGTGCAACTGGAAACTTTCATTTTCCTATTTGCAATTCACTTTACTACACATTCTCTCAAGACTTCAAATAAATACCCCTGAAAACCCAGTTACATTCTAGACCACCCCCTCAATTTACAAACAAGAGCAGGAATACCACTTTTTACGGTGAATGAAAGTTACACTTTACATTAAACTAAAACATTTTAAATCAATGCCACTTGATTGCATATTGTAAAATCATACAAAAGACATGTAAAAAAAAATGCTGAACTCAAACAGTGTAGTTAGTTACTGCCTCAGATGCTGAGCGCAAATATGAAACTGTATGTACAAATCTAAGGAGGCGGAGAGAGTCTTACCACAGAGGAAGAAGGTATCTGACTTAAGAACGCTGGGGCCTCAGCCTCCTTATATCTGTTTGAAAGTGCCAAGCAAGCAAAAGTTAATTATGGACCACTCTGGTAAAGGAAATGGATTGGATGAGATACCTCTGTGTGTCTGTGTCTCACTAGCCCCACCCACTTCCAGGAGAACCACACTCCTTATTCTTTAACCATTGATTGTTCTAGACTACGTTGAGACCTTGAGGAGGATCAGGTTACCTACTGCAGGAATGTCTGCATATGACATGTCCATCTATCCTGCTACGAGAGTAAAGCTCTGTGGCTGACCTTGAGCTGTTGTACTTATTAAACTTGTACAAACTGTAATTTACATAAATCAAATACAGGGCTTTAGTTTAGAACTCAACCTACTGCTTGAAGTTGAATGTAAATATCAGACTGGGATAAATTGACGTTCGCGATCTCCCGCTATCTGCAAGTGTGGCCAATGGCATAACACCTTATTGACATGAAATTCAACCAACCAATCTTAATACATAAACATTAGAATACATATTTCTCTTTAATATAATATAATATTTGTCTCAATTAAATTTCACAGAATGTACGTAAATGAGAGATGTCATAAACTAATAATTAAAAGTTTGATTTATCAAATGTATTACAATATCATTGCCCCTCAAATACTGTAATGGAGTGAGTCCATGTTGTCCCAAACCTATTATAATTCTTTATATATATTTTCAACTGTGAGAGACGGAATTTAAAAAAAAAAAAAAAAAATCCAGAAAATCACATTGTATGATTTTTAAGTAATTCATTTGCATTTTATTGCATTACATAAGTATTTGATACATCAGAAAAGCATAACTTAATATTTGGTACAGAAACCTTTGTTTGCAATTACAGACATCATAAGTTTCCTGTAGGTCTTGACCAGGTTTGCACACACTGCAGCAGGGGTTTTGGGCCACTCCTCCATACAGACCTTCTCCAGATCCTTCAGGTTTCGGGGCTGTTGCTGGGCAATACGGACTTTCAGCTCCCTCCAAAGATTTTCTATTGGGTTCAGGTCTGGAGACTGGCTAGGCCACTCCAGGACCTTGAGATGCTTCTTACGGAGCCACTCCTTAGTTGCCCTGGCTGTGTGTTTCGGGTCGTTGTCATGCTGGAAGACCCAGCGACGACCCATCTTCAATGCTCTTACTGAGGGAAGGAGGTTGTTGGCCAAGATCTCGCAATACATGGCCCCATCCATCCTCCCCTCAATACGGTGCAGTCATCCTGCCCCCTTTGCAGAAAAGCATCACCAAAGAATGATGTTTCCACCTCCATGCTTCACAGTTGGGATGGTGTTCTTGAGGTTGTACTCATCCTTCTTCTTCCTCCAAACACGGCGAGTGGAGTTTAGACCAAAAAGCTCTATTTTTGTCTCATTAGACCACATTACCTTCTCCCATTCCTCCTCTGGATCATCCAGATGGTCATTGGCAAACTTCAGATGGGCCTGGACATGCGCTGGCTTGAGCAGGGGGACCTTGCGTGTGCTGCAGGATTTTAATCCATGACGGCGTAGTGTGTTACTAATGGTTTTCTTTGAGACTGTGGTCCCAGCTCTCTTCAGGTTATTGACCAGGTCCTGCCGTGTAGTTCTGGGCTGATCCCTCACCTTCCTCATGATCATTGATGCACCACAAGGTGAGATCTTGCATGGAGCCCCAGACAGAGGGTGATTGACCATCATCTTGAACTTCTTCAATTTTCTAATAATTGCGCCAACAGTTGTTGCCTATTGTCCTGTAGCCCATCCCAGCCTTGTGCAGGTCTACAATTTTATCCCTGATGTCCTTACACAGCTCTCTGGTCTTGGCCATTGTGGAGAGGTTGGAGTCTGTTTGATTGAGTGTGTGGACAGGTGTCTTTTATACAGGTAACGAGTTCAAACAGGTGCAGTTAATACAGGTAATGAGTGGAGAACAGGAGGGCTTCTTAAATAAAAACTAACAGGTCTGTGAGAGCCGGAATTCTTACTGGTTGGTAGGTGATCAAATACTTATGTCATGCAATAAAATGCAAATTAATTACTTAAAAATCATACAATGTGATTTTCTGGATTTGTGTTTTAGATTCTGTCTCTCACAGTTGAAGTGTACCTATGATAAAAATGACAGACCTCTACATGCTTTGTAAGTAGGAAAACCTGCAAAATCGGCAGTGTATCAAATACTTGTTCTCCCCACTGTATAATATAATCTGACCTTATTTAGTTGAATTTCAGTGGCATTAATCCTTATCAAGAACTATATATATATTTCCCCCCCCTTTTTTTTCTTCATATTTCTTTTTTTTTTGCTAGTAAACACGTGAACTGTCTCCTCACCTCATTGTGATGGAGTTGGCCATTACCTTGTGCTTTGCTTGGTTTGATTTATCACTCTGGTGAAACCATATTAAACACATATTTAAAAACTAGAACAGACACATTTAGGGTTTAAATTATAGCTGATAATGTGTAGTTATTAATCTACAGTGTGAAGAAGCTTAAGGTGCTAAAACAGTCCAGTAGGTTTCTTACGATTTAAGGTTAGAGTTAGAATTCCTATGACCCATGACACCAGTACAGTATTTCATTAATCTTATCCACTCATATGGCTGAGGGAGATATAATACAGCTGCCTCAAACTTTTATGACTTTTATTCTGAAGTAAATCGCTTATCAAAAGGCTATTTATACTTTATAAATACTTCATAAAAGTTTTGAGTGACCAGTCTAATTTCTCACAAAAACATGGAAAAGCCATAGGTAGAGATTCCAGATATACAGTTGAAGTCGGAAGTTTACATACACCTTAGCCAAATACATTTAAATTCTTTTTTTTTTTTCACAATTCCTGACATTTAATCCTAGTAAAAATTCCCTGTCTTAGGTCATTTAGGATCACCACTTTATTTTAAGAATGTGAAATGTCAGAATAATAGTAGAGAGAATAATTTATTTAAGCTTATTATTTCTTTCATCACATTCCCAGTGGGTCAGAAGTTTACATACACTCAATTAGTATTTGGTAGCATTGCCTTTAAAATTGTTTAACTTGGGTCAAACGTTTCAGGTAGCCTTCCACAAGCTTCCCACAATAAGTTGGGTTAATTTTGGCCCATTCCTCCTGACAAAGCTGGTGTAACGGAGTCAGGTTTGTTTCAGTTCTGCCCACAAATGTTCTATAAGATTGAGGTCAAGGCTTTGTGATGGCCACTCCAATATGTCTTGAGATGTTACTTCAATATATTCACATAATTTTCCTTCCTCATGATGCCATCTATTTTGTGAAGTGCACCAGTCCCTCCTGCAGCAAAGCACCCCCACCTCATGATGCTGCCACCCTGTGCTTCACGGTTGGGATGGTGTTCTCCGGCTTGCAAGCGTTCCCCTTTTTCCTCCAAAAATAACGATGGTCATTATGGCCAAACAGTTCTATTGTTGTTTCATCAGACCAGAGGACATTTCTCCAAAAAGTACGATCTATGTCCCCATGTGCAGTTGCAAACCGTAGTCTGGCTTTTTTATGGCGGTTTTGGAGCAGTGGCTTCTTCCTTGCTGAGCGGCCTTTCAGGTTATGTCAATATAGGACTCGTTTTACTGTGGATATAGATACTTTTGTACCTGTTTCCTCCATCTTCACAAGGTCATTTTCTGTTGTTCTGGGATTGATTTGCACTTTTTGCACCAAAGTATGTTTAAATAAAATAAAAATATGTCCAAAGCGACTTACAGTCATGCGTGCATACATTTTTGTGTATGGGTGGTCCCGGGGATCGAACCCACTACCTTGGCATTACAAGCGCCGTGCTCTACCAGCTGAGCTACAGAGGACCACAACGTTCATCTCTAGGAGACAGAACGCGTCTCCTTCCTGAGCGGTATGATGGCTGCGTGGTCCCATGGTATTTATGCTTGCGTACTATTGTTTGTACAGATGAACGTGGTACCTTCAGGCGTTTGAAAATTGCTCCCAAGGATGTGGAGGTCTACAATCTTTTTTCTGAGGTCTTGGCAGATTTCTTTTGATTATCCCATGATGTCAAGCAAAGAGGCACTGAGTTTGAAGGCAGGCCTTGAAATATATCCACAGGTACACCTCCGATTGACTCAACTGATGTCAATTAGCCTATCAGAAGCTTCTAAAACTATGACATCATTTTCTGGAATTTCACAAGTTTTTTAAAGGCACAGTCAATTTAGTGTATGTACACTTCTGACCCACTGGAATTGTGATACAGTGAATTATAAGTGAAATAATCTGTCTGTAAACAATTGTTGGAAAAATTACTTATGTCATGCACAAAGTAGATGTCCTAACCGACTTGCCAAAACTATAATTTGTTAACAAGAAATTAGTGGAGTGGTTGAAAAACGAGTTTTAATGATTCCAACCTAAGTGTTAATACATTTCCGACTTCAACTGTACATGTGTTTTGAATGTTGCTATGAACGGTACAACAACATTTACTTAAAGGTGTTATGAATGGTTTCACAGAAGTG